GTGTGAGTGTGAGTGTGAGTGTGTGTGTGTGTGTGTGTGTGTGTGTAACACACACAGCAGCTCTGTTTCATTTCTGTCGTTGTTCTACATATTTAACTGTGCTTAGCTCTCATGTACTGACTGCTCACTAGTCTTTCATCATGTTTGAACTTTATATTTGTTGGGCTAGTAGTTTTTGCTGTGGTGTTGAAATTGGAATCGAGAATTCTAAAATGTATTTGGTGTCATATAAGCTTATCTATTAGAATCAAAAACTGTGATAACAGCAACTATTTTATTTTTTTGTGGCAGGCCAAGTAAATTATGAAAAAATATATAGAAATAGACGATTTTTTTGCCTTTTTATGTCATAATTTCTACTTTTTATGTCATAATTTTGAATTTTTGTGTCAATTTCGAATTTTGATGTCATACTTTTAACCTTGTATCATAATTTCAACTAAGTGTCATAATTTTGACTTTGTATCATAATTTTGACTATCATAATTTCGATTTTTGTCATAATTAACATTTTTGTCATAATTTCGACTTTTTATGTCATCATATTAAATTTTTGTATCATAATTTCGATTTAGTATGTCATAATTTAGATTTTTATGTCATAATTTTGACTATTTGTATCATAACTTAAGACTTTTTATGTCTTAATTATGATATATTATGATTAATGATATATATTTCGCCTTTTTTTCATGTCATAATTTGGCTTTGTACATCACATTTTAGACACAACGCTTCTGAAATACCATAACGTGGAGAAACGAGACGGAACATTATACTTTTGAAGAAGAATAAATGTGGACCAGAAACCCACAGAACTGATGTGACTTACTGTGTTTGCGTCCATTAATCATTCGTGTTGTTGTTAAACCAGATAAACGAGTATTTCTGATCAAATATGAACAATCTGACATCGATCTGAGGAGAACGTTAAGGGCGCTCGTGACGCCTCATTTCACATTTAACTTTGTTTGTTTGTTTGTTTCTTTTAATTAGAGATGCCTCCATATTTGCTAGAAATAAAATATACACCACATAGCTAGCTAGAGAACAGTAGCCTCCCTTTTCTTCCGCTCTAAATACAATACAATTAAAACGATGAGATGGAAAAACTATATATTGTTTTGCTACTGACTGAACCTTGGATCAAGATCACATTTCGTCTGGATTCTTCTGTAGGGGGAAAAGAAGTTTAGCAACAGGTTAGGCTAACGTTACAGGACTACATTTCCCAGAATTCCCTTTCTCCTGCAGAAACGAGGGTGTCTTTAAAACTCGCTGTCGGCGTTAATTTCTCACATTGCACAATGTCACTGTCAAATAACGCGTGTTTTCATCTTTATTCGGTCGCTAGTCGCTGTTATAATCGACAGTTTAGTGCTGAGGAACTCAGTCAGGGCTTGTTTACACATGTGACGGGTGCCTGTGTCGAGCTCCTGACTGCTGGGTTTTCCACAGACATACATTCTAATTACATATAAAAGGTCATTTTTGTCTTCAGCAGGTGATATTTGTTGATATCGATGATATTGATTAGTTTGTGTCGGGTCAGCGCAGGCAGTCTGCTGGATACCTATTCAGCGAGGAGGGGCGGTGACCGAGAGCACATGCCTTCGTTCCGAGCTTCGCCATTGGTCATTCAAGGGGCCTTAGCGCGTATCCTACTGTCTGATTGGCGGACGCGGCTGTCCATCAGTGTCGGTCTGCGCTGGCGTATATAAGCGCGCGGGTCTGCTGTGCCACAGCACTCGTGAACGTCCGAGAGATCGAAATCTGTTTTTAATCATCACTGGTTTAGAGCACGTCTCATAATTACAGTATCTCTCGCGCACGGGCGGCTGTGTTTGTGCGCGGATGTGTGGCTTTATATAGTGTGCCATGTGAGGCATTTTAGGGTGATTTTCGCGTGCGTACTTACTCTCAGCGCAAGAAAGGCGAAGAAACGATCGCGTTTAGTAGTGTGTGTGTGTGTGTGTGTGTGTGTGTGTGTGTGTACCTATTCAGCGAGGAGGGGCGGTGACCGAGAGCACATGCCTTCGTTCCGAGCTTCGCCATTGGTCATTCAAGGGGCCTTAGCGCGTATCCTACTGTCTGATTGGCGGACGCGGCTGTCCATCAGTGTCGGTCTGCGCTGGCGTATATAAGCGCGCGGGTCTGCTGTGCCACAGCACTCGTGAACGTCCGAGAGATCGAAATCTGTTTTTAATCATCACTGGTTTAGAGCACGTCTCATAATTACAGTATCTCTCGCGCACGGGCGGCTGTGTTTGTGCGCGGATGTGTGGCTTTATATAGTGTGCCATGTGAGGCATTTTAGGGTGATTTTCGCGTGCGTACTTACTCTCAGCGCAAGAAAGGCGAAGAAACGATCGCGTTTAGTAGTGTGTGTGTGTGTGTGTGTGTGTGTGTGTGTGTGTGGGGCTCACGTTTCTCTTGCATTATTCATGAGCAGCGGTGGATCCTCCCAGGGGCGGAGTTATTCAAAGTAGGCGTGGCGGTAATAGATGAGTGACAGATGTAACACGTGGGTCACATTAATGCACCTAAAACTGACTGTAGACAAGTACTTATGAAGTGTTAATGACATAGTAAGCAGAACTTGCTAACTAACTGGTGTTTTCTGCAGGATCCGTGCAGTCGTATTAGAGGCTGATGGATGTGGGCTGTGATGTCCGTTCAGAGTGAGCTTCGGGCCGCCGGTGGGGCGAGTTTGCACGCTCACCCTCAACCCGTCACTGTTCAGGATGAGGTGACCGCTAACATGGTGCTAACCGAACTCGCTGGCGACGCGGCGACTCTACATGTTGACCAGATGAAAAACGGCCTGCAGTCGCGAGTCGAGACGCAGAAACTGAGCAAGCGGCGCTACACCATGAGCGTGGGGTTCAAACACCCGAGCCTCAGTAAACGCAGGCGCCGCGCCAACTCCGAATGCAACCCGGTGCTGCCCACCAACTTCCTGCTGGGCGGGAACATCTTCGACCCGCTGAATCTCAACAGCCTATTGGACGAGGAGGTCAGTAAGGCGCTCAACGCCCAGACGCCCAAATCGTCGCCGCTTCCCAGCAAAAACAGAGACCCGGTGGAGATCCTGATTCCCAAAGACATCACCGACCCTCTGAATCTAAACGGGCGAGGCAGAGACGCGGCTGCGGGCGTGTTAGTGTCGCCCTTGAAGAGCAGGCGCAGACATCGCAACCGACACCATCCGGGAGCGACCGCTGAGCCTTCAGATGGTGAGAGGTCAAAGGTCGACGAGGGGTTGGCGTCGGGCCCGTTGTTTCCTGCCGATACTTCGGTGCCTGACAAGGTTGCGGACACCGCTGCTGCGCTAGAGGAGTCGCCGCATCCTTACAAACTCAACATGTCAATCAACTGCCGTGACGAAGTGGTGCCGCCCATCCTCCCGCGGCGACGGCCACGCCCCTCCTCGTCTAGCTCCGCCCCTCAGGTGCAGTCCAGCCAGCTGTCCAAACACAGGAAGCACAGACGAACCAACAGCCGTTCGGACCGCCTGTCCATCACGCCGACTCCGCCCATCAAGTGCACAGCCGCGCACAGCCAGACGTTTCACACTCCTGTTGTGGGCGGAGTCGGTGGAGCTCCGCCCCTAGGGGCGGGGAAAACCCCACAGCAGCGGCACAGGACGCAGCACAGGTTCCAGTGCGGAAGCTACAGCCGTTACTACGGTTACTGCACACCGTCGCTGACCGCCGACCCGCGCCTGGCCGTGTTTAAACCCGAGTGGTTCCGCGGGAAAAAAGTCCTGGATGTGGGCTGCAACACGGGTCACGTGACCCTCGCCATCGCCAGACACTGGGGCCCCGAGCGCGTGCTGGGTGTGGACATCGATGGCGCGCTGGTGCACGTGGCTCGACAGAACCTGCGCTACTTCCTGTCAGAGCTGCACAGATTGGACGAGAGCGGCAGGATGTGGGCGGGTGAGGGGTCAGAGGTCAAGGCCGGGGGTCAGATGGGGTTAGCGCCTCTGATGGGCCTCCAGCTGGGCCTGTGTGGTCAAGCGTTACGCAGGTTTCCCGTCTCCTTCACGCGCTGCCGTGGACCCATCGCCACATTTCCCATAATGCCTCACGTCCCGGGCCTGTTCCCCTGCAACGTCTACTTCCTGAAGGTAATCTGTGTGTGTGTGACTTTATCATTTTCAAGCTTTTCTTGGCTTCCTTCTGTCTGTTGTTCTGTTTGTCTCTCCTTTAAAGGGATAGTTTTCTGAAAATAATAATTGTCATCATTTACTCTCCCTCATGTCGTTCCAAACCTGCGTGAGTTTCTTCTGCTGAACATAGAAGATATTTTGAAGAATGTTGGGAACCAAACAGTTGCTGTTAGCCATTGACTTACACAGTATGACAACACTAATAGAAGACTGCCTGTAGCTTACATATGTTATATGTTAATAAAGTTGTGTATATTTTGGATGACAGTATCAGAGATCTGTCTGTTCTGTCTGTCTCTTCAGCCACACTTTCTGAGTGTCAGGCTTTGACATGCCTGTGTGTGTGTGCGTGTTTGTGTGTGTGTGAGATAGTTTGTGTGTTTCAGTTCATTCCCAGACTGATTTCATGAGCTGCTGTTGATGATCGTGTGTGTGTGTGTGTGTGTGTGTGTGTGTGTGT